AGGTAGAGGGTGAGTAGCAAATGAGCATCAGCATGATAAATGGTGTTTAACAGATGCAAGGACCAAACTGGAATAACAAGCTGGGTTCATATATGGTCACCATTTGTTTGGGTTTAATTCCAGGGGAAAACATACTGAAGGAAATAAATATCAAAATCGGACCTAGATGGGCAGATCTATCCTCCTTAATTGTGGAATGCTGAGAGTGATTAAATGAGACCCTGTTGCGATGCTCCATCCGTCTCCTCTCTCGTGTGGAGGTCTTTTTACAGCATTCTTTTCTTTGTAATATATATGTGTGTAAGTAAGCTCTTTCAACCATGCAGTGCTGCTCTCTCCGTCCTAGAAGTGCATTGCACTTTTATATCCCCAAGAACACAGGCCGGGATGCAACCCACTTCATAGCACTTTGAGCGGCCCATTTTTGAAATTATTTGTAAACGCAGTCTTTTTCCATGTTCTCAAAACAGGTGGTGATGAGAAAACTGAAATAGTTTCCAGCTTCTTTTAATCCCTTTTAAAAAACTCCGTCACAAATACCATTCTCAGGCCCCTGTCACACGGGCAGGAAACTGCAGAGGAGAAGTGTGGCTGTTTGCCCCGGGGCAAACTAACATGCAGTAAAGCGATCAGACCTACTGTGGAGGTTCTGTGGAGGTTCTGTGGAGCTTCCGTGGGTAGGGAGAGGTGCCGATCACAACACACGCCTGCGCGCAATGAAGAAGCGTGCGGCGCGGCAAACTGGTTTTCTTTGTGTACACTACGAATGCGCATGCTCCGTTGGGTGCGTGTGCGCATCCACGGAGACTTGGGGGAAAAAAACCCCTTTTCCGCAAGGGGACATGGGCGGGCGCCGGATGCCACCGGAAACGCGATCAGACGCCCGCCCTTGCCCCGCAGTTTCTGGAAACTAGTACCTCCAAGGTACTAGTTTTTTGCTGCGCTTTTTCGGCAGGAAGCCTCAGTTGTGCCACGGAAGCGCTACGCTTCCCAGATGTGCTGGTGAGATCGCGACCGGAAACTCTGCTTGTCTTCCGTATCTCTTGCGTGGCTAATGTTGCGTGTGACTGCAGCCTCAGTCTTATTTTTACATATTTATTGCTTTATAACTGTTGAACTTATAACCTTAGCTTGTTATTTAGATTGTTTCCGCCTATGTTAAAACCAATCCTCCCTCTAAGCTATGGGTGTCAAACTCATTTCTTATGAGGGCCAGATCTGGCATAAATGAGACCTTTTTGGGCCGGGCCATGTGTGTCATAAAATGTAATGCCAGGCAGCAGAGATATAAACTTTATAAAGGACACAAACACAAAGATTTTTTTTTACTTAAAATAAAAACATGCTTAAAACATTAGCTCTGTAGGCTGCAAACCTACTTTTGATTTATTGACATTCACCACAGAAATCTCATGCTCAGAGTTCTGGGTCTAGGACCCAGGTTAAAACATTAACTGGCTGAGTGATTTAAGAGAGTCTGGCGAAGCAAGCTATGATGCAGCAGCAGAATTGGAAGCAGGAGATGGCCAGTTCCACTGCGAGCCTGATAGAAGCCCCCCAGGGGCCTGCTCCAGCCCCCATGTTTGACACCCCTGCTCTAAGCTATGGAGTCCTGTCAGCTACTGGCATTAAGGTTGTGAGCGAGCAATTTGGCTACTGCATAAATTAGTTTGCTCTGGAGCCATCCTTCCTGAGCTAAGACAAAAGTGCTGAGCCAGAGGCTAAAAACTATGCGCTAGCTCAAACTAACTCAGCTTAGAGGGAACACTGCTTAAAACATCTTTGTCATGTTGCATGTTAATTTGCTGTTCAGCCCCTCTCTATGAAGAAGATTAGATTTATACCCCGCCCTTCACTACCCAAAGGTGTCTCAGAGTGGCTTACAAACTCCTTTCCCTTCCCCTCCCCACAACAGACACCCTGTGAGGTAGGTGGGGCTGAGAGAGCTCTGACAGAAACTGCTCTTTTTCAAGAACAGCTCTTATCAGAACTACGACTTGCCCAAGGTCATCCAGCAGGTGCAAGTGGAGGAGTGGGGAATCAAACCCAGTTCTCCCAGATTAGAGTCCGCACACTTACCCCCAACCCAACTGGCTCTGTATAAGTTTGAACCTTTCCTTCCATTCCAGTGTCTTTGAAAAGTGTGCTTACTTTGTTGGTCTTAAAGCTGCCACTGGACTCTAAATTTGTTCTGTCATTCACAGTTTCACAGTCGGCCATGGGTACCGCCCGAAAGTTTCGATCTTGTACAGCCCAATCCTACGCATGTTTACTCAGACGTAAGCCTCGCTATCTTCTATGGGACGCATGCTCTCTAAGAAGAGTTCACATGGATTGCAACTGGACGAGTCGCTCCTCCTGCCCGGCATAGTGGCCTTTTACTAGCTGCGCAGTGCACAAACACACCTGCGAGAGAACGAAACCCGTCACATCCCTGCAAATCCACAGCTATGCAGTGGGGAAACAAGAACTACAATTCCCAGAAGGCAGTAGACAGGAAAGGGGCGGAGTTATCGCATGGCGGCCGCGATTGGTCGGGGACGTCGATTTGAACGTGGCGCGGGGCTGGTTCTCTTTCCTGCCTTCTACCGTGGTAGTTTTGCCGGCTGTGTGGCCGGTTAGTAGGTAAAGAAAAAGCTTGCTGGTGTCGGGTAGGTCGTGGGGCTTGGGGGGAAAGAGGCTGTATGCCAAAGTATGGGAGAGATCTGAAAAATGGCTTTTTAATGAGGTTGTTGGTAATGTAATGGTGTAT